TCCAAAGTTCTTCCACCGATTTCAGCTTCTTTTAGGTCTATTAATTCTCTTGTTTGCAAGAAAATTAGGTGTTCTTTCTCTTTCCTTTCCCGCCTGTATCCACATACTCTAAATCATTTTCTTCTCAGCCATCCATCTTTGCCTTCCTCTCTCCCTTAACTATTCCTCCCTTCTGTCCTTTCTTATCCCCACAATCAATCCAGTCTGCTGATTTGGTTCCCTTTTCAAAAGGAAACAGATGCAACAGAGAGATACTGTCACAAACACACCAGTATCTCTGGGAGGAAAACTGATAGCACAGATGAACTTACCAGTCTTCTCTATCTCACAAACAGACAGTCTATACATGTTTCTCAGAAGTGATCAAAACCACACCCTCAGTGATGCTTCTAAATTGAAAAAAATGACATGGGGAATGCCTCCTCTCTTTTGGGTTTACAAAAACTGCTCTTTATGCTCACATTTGTCCTGACACTATCTTGTTCCCTCCATTATTAGCATCCTGTATGCCCCATCTTATTTCTAATCTATTATCTCACAATAAAATTATGGAAAGTAATTGTAAAGGTGATAAAAATAACTCCACTAGCATAGCCTATTCATTATTCCTTTCCTAAATGAGGCCTCAGAAGCAGATATAACTTCTGCTTTAACCCAATGACAGAAAAGGTGGGCATGTTTTCTTAAAATCTGCCTGCTGGTCCCTAGGATTCCAAGTTATGGCCAGTTTCCCTTTGGACTTTTATCCAGCTCAGCACATTACAGGTACTTACATTATAACATTATCCCTGTGGTAAAGAATCATACCAACAAGATCATGAGCCTCTGAATGCTCCATCCATGTGCAGGTGACCTGTGAGTTGTAGTCATTCAAGCAGCTCAGGCTTTTCATAGGGATACTCTCTGAGAAAGGAATTCAAGAAAAAAAAAAAAAAAAGAAAAAAAAAAAAGATGCAGTGACTACAAATGTAAATAGTGAGAGATAGTAGGAGTTCAGAAGGGATAAGGCACTGATAAGAATACTTTCCTCTTGGCACCAGAAAATTATAGAATTGTAGAATGGTTTGGGTTGGAAGGGAGATTAAAGATCATCAAATTCCAACCCCCCTGCCATGGGCAGGGATATCTTCCACTTGACCAGGTTGCTCAGAGCTCTGAACTTGGCCCTGAACACCTCCAGGGATGGGGCACAACTCAGTGAAAAATATGTACAGAGTTGTGGCCATTCTGCACATCTCTACAATATATAAGTGTCCAGACCAAGCTATAACTAACAACAATTAAGTGAGATCTTTGTGCTTGAAAGGAATATCATTCTAGCCAAGATATCACTTTTCCAGCACTGATTATTTCCAAGGATTAGTAGATACCATGGACAGCAGGCATACAGCGACCATTTCATCTTTGTGTGTTGGTGTATAGATTTCTTTGCAACTAACTTCCTAGTAAACATTATGGTATTAGAAAGGTATATTTAAAAGTGAGATGCTCTGTGAATAGTCTTGTTATGACTCAGAATAATGCCTAAACTAATTTACTGGAACTAGATTTATGACCCAGAAATGGCCAGACCTCTCGTGAGGGATAACAGTTTTTAAGTTCACAATTGTGAAGTTGGAAAATACAGACTTGCCCTCAGCACATGCATTACAAGGCAAGTTGCTTTCTTATCCTGCTTTATTTTCTCTGAAGGTAATATCTGTGCTGTGCTATTGGGATATTGCAGCTTCAGATGAGAAAGATGTCAGTGTGAATACATGAGTATGCTCTCTCAAATAATTTTTCATGATGAGAGCTACTATCAGCTTGTTTAAGGGGCTTTTTAGGGTAAAGAGTAGTTCTCATTGCATGAGAAAGGAAAGATATTAAACTTAGAAACACAAGCAATGGACATAGCAGATGGTCTCTTTATCTGTCACCAATTCCACACAAAGAAAATCAGGTCATCTGGAAGTTGCTCTTGGTAGCCCCCCCACCTCTGTCTTGTGTCTGTCCACATGACTCTACTCCTGTACACTTTCATGGGAATTATGCAGCCCTTCATTTTCCTGTTTTCACTAATTATCAGGGTCTACTGCTCCTTTCCATTCACTCATTATCCAGTCAGCTTGTTTATCTCATCCATTTATCCAGTATTTCACCTGTCTTTACCACCAACATACAACTGATTTGTCTGCACATGCACCTGCCACACACACTGTTTTTGATCAAGATGTCTGTTCTCCTACAGTATAGAAGACAGTATAGAAGGAAGCAGAAAAGCAAGCAGAAAATGAGGAAGAGCATTAGCTGAAAGAAGCAAACAGATACAAAAAGAAAGGCAATAAAGAAAGGAAGGATAAAAGAGAATATAAATTTGAATCTCACCTCGAATGGCTTGAACACTGAAGACCAAATACAGGTTCAGCAGCAGGATGAAAATCTGTTTCATGTTCATACTGTCCTTTGCCCACAGGCTTGATCCTACTTCAGAAGATCATAGTTTTCTGCTTACTGTGGAGCTGCTTGTTTTCATTTCACATAAAGAGAAGTAAAACTGAATGAGGGAACTTCTTTAATATTCGTGTTGGAGTGACATTCAGAAAGAACTTATACCAAGCATTTACTGTAGAGCAAAATTCATGCCTTCTTGTTGTGCGAGCTTGCAATAAAAGCAAAGAATGAAGCAAATGCGCATTACTCTGTCAGCTGAGTAGCAACAAGAAACATTCCTAATCTGTGAAGAGAACTCAGCCTTCAAATTCATTAATCCTTCTTCTCTTTATGCTCAAAGTATTCCTAACGAACCACAACAGTGTTCTGGTTTTTACCTTTTCTCAAAATATGATCTCCAACAACATAATTCCTGGGAGCTACAGTGGTTGAATTTCCATATTCATTCACTTTCAGATTTTTCATCAACATGCTACTTTCTAGCTGCTCCCCAAATAAGTTGCAAATTGTAGACATAATACCAAAGAAACTATTTTTCTTTGGTGATTGTAAAGAGTGACAATTGATTGAGCAGTTCCAAGACCATGGACCACACCGTTCATACCAGAATTCAGGTCCTTTTGGCCATCTCTCATTGCTCTCTCAAAAGCATAATGCACTTACCTACTTAAGTACCGTACAGATATGAGACTTTTTTCTACTTTGGGGGAGCATGGAAAAACTCCTTTTAAATTCCTATCGACTTTCAGACTCTTAAACACCACTTCCTTATACCAGAAACAGCTGGCTGAGCCAGTGGTATTGAATAGCCATTACAGCTAAGGAATCCCTCAGTCACTCACAAGCCCCTGTGTGAGGGCAGACTGTGCCATTTTGCTTCTTCCAAAAAAGGAGCCATTCCCTTACCTGGACCCAGAGATGTCTGTGAGGCAGATGATTCCACCTGATGCGTGAATCTCCTTGTCCAGCCTGCCCCCACAGCACCAGAATCCTCCAATGCAGAAACCAGCAAACCCACACTTGCCTAGAACTGGAGACAGAAGGTATCAACCAAGCACAGGATTTTCTTGGCAAGTAAGTCTTCAAAATAAATGTTACGTCTTCTGTGCATCTCAAATGCCACTTTCAGAGAAGCAGACCCCACCCTTTCAAGGGAAGTCTATGCAATTGCCTGTAAAATAGGAAGTCTGCAGTTCCTATTTCAGCCCCCAAAGCATGCACTTAAATGGCACTAAGGGAAGGGAGGGAAAGGAAGTCTGTCAATCTGCGTATTAGCAATTACCAGATCATAGGACTAATATATTCTAAGAAAAAGAAAGGATTGACTGCAGCAGAAGTAAGAAAGACAAAGAAATAACTCCTATTTTTCACTCCAGTGCTGTTTCTTGCTTTAATCTAGACTAGACAATCTTCATGGCAGGGGTCACACTGGACTTTCATTTGTACATCTATATTGAGGACTAGTGAAATACCTTTATTTCTGTAACCCTTTAATTTGAGCAATATTTCTAAAAGTAAGTTTTACCTATTTCAACAACAATTAATAAAAATGTTACAGTACAGAGAAGAAACCAAAAAAAGTTCTGAGAAAAGCTGGTATGAAGTTATCCTACATCCAATGCAGCCATGCTCTTTTAATCCAACTTTAAAATTTAGGCCAGTAGCCTTCAATAATAAGATCTATAGAAAAGTTAGGTAACCATAAGGAAAACATATACTCAGGTTTTTGCTTTGGAGGGTTAACTATGGGTGACTGAGTCCCCAGATACAGAATATAACTGCCAGAGTCTGCCTATCCTGCACTGATATATACTACGCCTCCTCTAAATTCCTAGAGTGCTGACCAAAACCACAGTTAACTCAGTTACACTCTCACCAGAACTACAGCAATAAACAAGGTAAAAAATGTACAATGTGAATAAGAGAAACATGCAGAGCAAGATGGAGAACATGAAAACATGAAGAACATGAGAGTATCTGAGGAAACTGTGTGTCAAGAGGTGTCTATATGAAACCTGCAGACAAGATGGGGAATATGTGGCTTTGCTGGATGGGCAGAATTTACTTTGTATGGCAGTATAAAGGCAGAGAGGAATTTGAGAAAATCTGCTCTGATTTTCAGAGGCCAATATGTTTTTCTTCCCCCAACCTTAGAAAAGAGGTTTCTTGTTTCCCAGTAGACATTTTCCCTCCCTTCCCTTCCTCTCTGAAAATGTTCCCCCATTTTCAGACATACATGCTGTGTTGCTGTTTACATCACAGGATCTAGCTATCAGCGAAAATCTTCGGATGACACTCGCTCCTTTAAACTCCAGGAACACGTAATAGGTAATCCTGCACACCAGAAGCTTTGCAGACCATGCATGCCATTAGGTTTCAAACTTACAGTGTATTTTCTTACGTACCACAACATGTAAGATCACTGACATTATCATCACAAATTGCTTCATCTCCTTTCTAAACTGCAATGTCTTTGAAGCAGGAAGTTACATTTTGTAATAGCTTAGTAAAATAATGTCAACCAAATCCCCCCCTCAATAAAAAAAAAGCCCACTTCTAAACAAAAATTGATTAAATCATATTTAACTTTATTTGTTGAAGAATCTGATACAGTAATTTCTTATTAGTTCTCCTTTGAAATGAAGTGTCCAAAAGCAGAAGATAGACAGAGAAGGAACTGCTGTTTGAATAGGCATCATGCAAATTTTCCCAGAATGTAGAAATAAGTAGTCTGTACAATTACAAAAAGGTCTGTGAGAAACACCACAGGTGTACTAAGTTGGATTCCCAAAATTCAGTGCACTGGGCAGTGGAAAGAAGAAAGTTGAGGTGGGCTGCAATTTCTTCACTGAAATAAAAAAAGTTTTCTTGACGCTTCTAGAGCAAACTCTGAATGCCTGGTCAAACTCCAACATGACAGAAATAATTATGCACTGGCAAACAAATGTTCATATCAGCAATTGAAGAGAAAATTACGGCAATCTAGAAAAAAAGAAAAGTTTATGAAGACATTCTGGACAAATAATTAGCTCTGGGAGTGAGTATAGAGATTAGAGCAGGTCTTGGGACTCGGGACACCTCTGTTGCAAGCTAACACTCACTTGCTTTGTGAATATGGCCAGTGATTTTATTTCTTTATTCCTCACCTTCTCTGGTCTCTACGTAGATGTCTCTATTGCAGAGGAGAGCTAAAAAGCTGAAGGGGCTAAGTACATATATTACATTGAATGGTAATACATTACTAAAAATTTCTGTTTTCAAGGTCACTTCAAAGACATAATAAAGGAAACTGCCTGCAGAGGGGGATTATTAAAGGACTGGATAGCTACCTACTGGAATATATCTATATAGCACTTACATTGCTCCTACTATTTGATTAGCATCTATTCCTGGACTAGTGTTGTAGACACCCAAGTCATCTTTGTGAGTGATGTGCAACTTCCAAGGGAAAAAGTGCTTCTCAGAGGGACTTCTCCTGCTCTGAGATACCATGAGTTCAACATCTTCATCGGAGAGCAACCGGATCAGATCACCGTCAGGGTCCCGATAATTCAAAGCAATCTCATCTTGGCCAAACTCCCGCCTGGTAGAAAAGGAATGGGTTGATCCTCAGAAATCAAGGAACACCTTGGAGGTGCTACATGAAGAACAATATACTGACAATCTAATTAACTCTGCTAAAAGCCACAAAAAGCCTTACATGTGTTGACATTCTTGATACAGGTAGTACTGGAAATTATAGAGTCACATTCATGCTGTGCTGCGTTTAAGCTAAGAAACCTATCGGAACCAAAAACCATTTCCAGTAACACCACACAAATAGTGCAATTATTCTGTATGTTTGATAAAATTCCCATACAAAAAAAAGTTGACTGTAGTTACTACCCACTTTTGCCTACTTATAGTTGCTTTTTTTCTGAGGAGTGCAAGAGTATTAGCACAGGTGTTCTATTACTGATATTTGATGTTCTAAAGTGTTGATATTCAACACTAGATCAAGCTAGCGTAACACTAGTTTAGCGCATGTTAGAAGGTGGAGTTCTGCATCCTGAAGAAGCGTACTAGACAAAAGATGTTTTCAAGAGGGCATGGCTCTGATCTCAGAAGAAAAAAATGGAAACTTCTACCCAGCATAATTGAATCAGAAGTTTGGGTCATTCCATACTTATTGACAATCCCAAGGAAGACCGTTGTCTGCATAGATGGTCCTGGGCCAAGTCAAAATACAACTCCTTCAAGACACTTGAAAAGTATTTCACACTCAAAACATGGCGATGACCAAATAGAATGTGGAAAATCTATTATTAAATATATAACTAACTGCTTGCATTGTACCTCATCAATTCCATGAGCTCTTTGAATGATGGAATGCTGCTCAGATTCTCTTCCACTGAGATATCCCTGTAATCAGAACAAATCTAATTATTATGTCATGAAAAGAGAATTATTGGCATTTCTTCAGCAATAATCTGGAACACTATTTTCTTACTACCTGATAGTGCTCACAGTCTCATTGTGGTAATAACAGCGGACTTTATTGACTGTGTCTTCCTGCTGTGGTAAATCTTTTATGATCTTCACAAAAGCACATGGGAAAATCCCAGTGGCATCATTAGCAGTTCCCTGGAATGATAGGAAATATTGGAATTAAGAAAACCACACCATTTGGGCCACATGCATAAGTTCTGGAATTCAATTAATTTCCAAAGAAACAACAATAAGAATTTTTCTACAATAATACAGAGAAGAAAGGCTATGGAAGTGACCTGATGGCATCCCTACAGAAAGATTATACAATTGCATAGTCAAATACCAGACAGGAGAGTGAAACAGTGTGTAAAAAATGAAAGTCAGATGGTTAGCAAGGAAGGCTGTGGTGTTTGAGCAAGCAGAGATATCATATCAGCAAACACACAGTATGTTCTCCTCATCCTCTTTCAGAACACTGCTGCATTACCCAAGTTCTCTCTAATCAGGATGACGTGTGTTGTGGTATGAAGCATGAAGCATAGAGCAACTCACCCTGAGGCAAGAAACCAATTAATCGCTGAAATGGAGTTTCCATCTCCTTTCTATGGCCTTTCTGTGTTCTAATCACTTCCAAAGAATTTAAGAACATTCCAGCAGAAGAAAATGCAAATGAAAACTGAAGTCTGGAGGGCAGAAAATTTGTAAGCTAAAAACCATCAAGGAATGAAGCAATTACAGATTTGGAATCAAGGATTTATTCTTGACAGTAAGACCTGATTATGGTAGAGTTTCTCCTTGAAAGGAGGAGACAGGTCACAAGGATTAGGAGAACCCTTTCTACTCATGTATGTCAAGGTATGCTAATAATTCAGTATTGCTCTTGCAGTCTTACCTCCAACCAGTCTTTGTTTACTCTGCTGAGTAGGTAGATCAAGTCTCCCTTTTTGAAGCTGAGTTCCAATTTATTGGTTCCAGGAAAATCAAACAGTGCCTGTGGAAAGTAATAACACTGAAATTATTAATTCACATAATTACAAAAGCAAATATTTCTTTCTGTTCTGTTCTTGAGGCAGAAGCAGAAAGCAGCAAGATAGTGTGCACTTTGTCATCACAGACCTATTTCTGGGATAAGGTCACATATATTTGACTGCAGTCTGCAGTTCTCACAATTTCTTCTGCTACTCAGCGCACACAGAAATGCTTTGAAGAAGTAGTGAAAGCACCAGGATAAACATGGCCCTGAGAGAACTGCATGCTAGGATTCTTAAAGTGGTAGAACATTGAGCACCAGAGAAATAAATATGCATAAGCTGAAAACACTTAAGAGCAAATAAGACAACAGAGCTGAAGGCAACTGACAGCTTGAAATCCCGAGAAATGAAGAGATATATTATTTCTGGTTGCAGCTTTTACAGCTTTTAGGTTTGCTGCAAAAAAATCATAAAAAGCCTTACAAAATTTCAGAAATGTTGTGTCCTAATTTAAGGGTACCTAACTGTTGCTCCTACATGTAGCTTTCAGGTCTGTGTGCTGAACTGAGAGATTTGGGAAGCCTGGGAAAATTGGTATGTAGTTAAAATGGAACTTTGATGCCCTTTTCAGGAGAAAAACAAAAATAAGGAAGTAGTACATGTTACCACCCCAACAAACTGTTCTTGGATAACTAATGTGGCTGAGTTATGAAAAATGCACATCTACCCCATTGTCCTTAGAGAATATGGTAGCCATTTAAACACTCTTAGAGGAGCAAAAATGAAAATATGCTCTTTGTTCTGTGTTGAGATAGTTCTTTTTGTCTTGTTAATGCCAAAGTTCTCCCAACAATAAAAAATAAAAGACAATGGCTACTGTTGTGCTAGTAGTTCATATGTCTATCTAATAGCTCTTTCAAAAGTTTTTTTCACCTCTTGAAAAGTTTTGGTAGGCATAATTGATATTAATAAATTCATAGATAAAATCCAAGAGGTATGACTGTTCCAAGGCCTGTCATTGTCAGTGTGAAAAACAAAACCAACAAACCTCAAAGCATTTAATGGCTTTTTTAATCTTGCATAGCAAAGTCACATGTTCCAGGAAGCAAGATCACGCTCAGACAACTGCTGGTTACAAAGCAGATCCATGCACTTAATACCGAGACAATACACCACAAAAGACAAGGGTATAGGCACTTTTCAGTGGAACACTTGTGTTACAGAAAATACCGAGATGCCTCACCTGCAAAGCTCTTAAACATATGCTGAAGTTAATGAAGCTGAAGCTTGTGCCTGTTCTAAATTTAATTTATGGTTATCACTATGCAAATATGCTCCATTTGGCAGCAAGCTGTACATGTCTCAGTTTTGAGTCTCCTGTCATTCTGACTTCACAACAGACCTTCTTACTACTCAAGTGACGAGGTACAAAACACTTCTTTCCATCCTTTGTTTCATTCCCTGTTGTTAAAATCAATTGTTTTTTTCTCTGTTGATTTCACTTTCTTCCCCCAAGTTCTAATTAGAAAAGGCAACTTGATGGATGAGGTACCAAAGTAAAACAGAGTTTAATCTCCTATCCTGCGACAGGCTGTGCAGAGTACTCACCTCAGCCCGCGGAGCTGCTGTGCGGTCAAGAACAGGCACTTGATGTGAAATGCTTTTACTGCAAAGAAAAGAGATGACAGGGAGATAAACATGCCTTTCTAGTCATAAAAAATGCTACATGATCAGTAGTACAGTGTCTGCATTTTCACTGTTTAAGAGGTAGGCAAGCCATAGACCACTGGAGAAACCGCATGAGAATGAATCTGTGTGCAGCACTGAAGTAAAAAAATATGGATGCAACAACACTGCCCTAGTTCCCTCAGTTTCAGTTCAGGGTAGCAGCAATCTGATGGTGTCTGCTGTTGAGAACAGATGGAATTTTCAATACAGTCAGTATCCTGGACTTCTCTTCCACAGCACTGCTCAGCCCCCCTACTCTGCCTTCCAGGCATCTCTGTTTCTAGCATTTACGGCATTTAGTTCAAACTCTGTCATCATACACACATGCAATTTCTGCAGTGTCTGAGGTAAGTGAAAAGGAAGTGGGTCCATCTTTGCTATGCTGAAAGGAGAATTAATTTGTCTGAAGGGTAATGAAGTATGGCATCTACTTAACAGTTCTCCAAAGGGGTGTCAATGCTGCTATGTAGGACAGGCCCCCGTGTAGACAAAGGACAGGAACAAATGAAGTGTTCAGTTTCATTTAGTGTCTGAACCAGATCTCACTGAATTCATTGCCAAACTCACATTGACTTCAGTGGTGCAAGCCTATGTCCGTAAGCTTGGCCTGTATATTCTGCACATTATAACAGAGATTACAATTAAAGAAATACAGGCAGATAGAACTGGACAGTATTTTTAAAAAGCAAGATATACTCTCCTTTTGGAATTTTCCTTTAATGCAAGTACCACATCCACTTTAAAAACATGAGATTACTGAAAAGAAGAAATACTCTGTGTTCACTCCACCACAAAGATCCTCATATTGGGAATTCATGGATTCACATGGGAAACACAGTGGTGACCCTCATCTCTCTCTCTCTCTCTCTCTCTCCCCCCAAAACTAGACGTCATCTTTTACATCAAGAAGTGCTGAAAAAACATGTCAATCACTTACACTCGGCGTGTCCGTGGGCGAAGCCGTCTCAGTCTATGAGGCACCTGTTCACTATCGAAGGTTGAGTGGTAGAAGAACAGCCGTACATCTTCATCCATCAACACCCAAGCAGGGAGGCAGAGTAGGTTCTGTGCCAAGAGCAAGGAGGAAGCAGAGTGTAGCAGTGGGAGAGATCAATTCTCTATTTATTTACATGCAACAAATATGCCTCTCTGACCTACAGGATCATGAAGGATATTCACTACTGCCAGAAATCTCCCTCCTCTCCCTTCTCACTCAGCAGGATGCAGCTGAACAGCTGACAGTTCCTCTCCTTTACTCCTGGAGTTGGCCAATGTATTGCTTCACTATTTTTGTACCTGATTTACTGCAGGAGTAAATTGCTTTTTCTGTTTCCCTTCAGAATATGAATGACTGTGGAAAGAAGGCAATCTTAAGTCATGGAAGCCTTGGCCAGTGTTTCAGGCTTTCAGTGATTTAAAGTCAGGTCTTCAGTTAACCTGCACACAAAGAATTTCTCTTCTTGTTGTTTATTGGCTGCACCCTCACTGTAGAGCAGGTATATCCAGAAGCCCACCTGTCCTGATTCTAGCTGTGATGGAGCCACTTTACTTCTTAGCAGCTGGTACAGTGGTGTGTGTTGGATCTAGCATGACAATGATGTTGGTAGCACACTGACGTTTTAGTTGCTTCTAACTAATGGCTTACTAAACCAAGGACTTTTCGGTTTCCATGTTCTGCCAGTGAAGAGCTGCACAAGAAGCCAGAAGGGACCATGGCCAGGACAGCTGATCCAAACTGGCCAAAGGGATATTCCATGCCATAGAATGCCCAGTATATAATCTGCAGGGAGTTGGCTTGGAGCCACCAATCACTGTTCACTGGACAGGCTGGGTATCAGTCAGCAGGTGCTGAGCAATTATACTGTGTATCACTTGTTTGGTTTTTTTCTTTAGTTTTATTTCTCTCTGTCTTTTTTGCTATCTCCCTTTTAATTACACTTGTTAGTATTATATTTGACTTTATTTCAATTATTAAACTTTTCTTATCTCAACCCACAGGTTTTACCCTTTTCTGATTGCCCTCCCTATTCCATTGCAGGAGTGAGCAAGTGGCTGGGTGGTACTCTGGGGGACAAGGCTAAAACATAACACAGCATTTCATGCAGCACCTGGAGATTCACCATTTCCTCATACATCTTGGATTTGGGGGGGGGGGGCGTTTTGGTGGTGTTTTTTTTTTTTGTTTTGGTTTGGTGGTTTTTTTGGTAAGGATATCTATCTGTATTTGAAGGGAGGGAGTGAGCCTGTGTGAACTCCAGTAGATCCTAGAGTCTGAACAATCTGGGGAAGAGGACTGCAGGTTGTACCACAGTGTGGGCACTGTGTATTCAGTAAAATCAATACACAGAGAAGCAGATACCTAGGACTGTAACAGTACTGTCCCTCTTAGATGATTTCAAGGGGTAAATATCTGCAGTGCTCAGTGCATTCTCCACCTTAAAATTAAGTTTTACCTTCATGTAGACATTTAGGATAGGAATCCTGTTCTCAGCAATTTCCTTTTTGGCACCAACAAAAACTTTTCCTGGAAAATATAAAACCTGTGACAGTTATTGAAGAAAAAAACAACAGAGGTTGACAGAGAAATGAAGCAATCGGGAGAAAGTAGGATCTCCAAGAAACTACGTATTTTCTAAAGCATTTTATGTTTCTAAATTAACTTTACCAAAGTGAAGGTACTGCCAATGGAGCTTGACTTCTCCGACATCTACAGCTGGGAACTAGTTCCTTGTCACAACTACTTCTCTCAGCAGGGAAGTCTGGGGCTGAGAAAGCTGCTAATCATGGAAAGATTTGGTACTGACAGCTTACCTGGCAATACAGGGAGTGTGCAGGTGAATGGGCTATTATCACTCTCTGGCCCATATCTCTCCTCTAATTTGGTGTGCAGGGCATAGAACTCACGATAGCGCCGGAAAATCAGGTATCTGCCACCACCTTTAAGCTTTACTTCAATGACAAACATCTGAAACAGAGAAGAGGAATTCAGGCTGATGTTCATACTCATAAATACTTACCAAATGAAAACAAGCCAAACAATAGGATTGTAAGATCAGTGCTCTATTAGTAGGAGTATTCTCTTAGAGGCAGAGTGGAAAGCAAGCCTTCAGTTAAGCATCTGCAGACTCAAGAACTAGAAAATAACAAAGTTAGCACCAGTGTGGCATATGTGCGGGTCCAGATTTCCCATGGTGCATGTCCCTGTGGCTGCTTTATGTTGTATAACCTTAAAAGGAAACATGAAATGACTAGATTATACTTTATGCTTACGCACTTTCCCCCAGTGACAAACAAAACACATTAGGGAGGTAAATACAAATATTTTACAGTGAGATGCTTTGGATGTCTAAGTCTACAGGCAGACATCTAAATGAATTGATTTTCAAAGCTGAAAGCATTCATACTTCTTTTTGACTTTTAAGGTACACAGTTTCAGAAATTATGGCCTGACTGCCTCCAACCAGTATTTTATTTCTTATCTCTTGACAAAATTGCTTTGCTCCAAAGAAACCCACAATTTCCATACACTGACCTCTGAGTCACATTGCAGCCAGATCCTTCAGAAAACATAAAGACAGAGCAATCGAACATCACCACATTCCAGAGTAAAACCTGCATACTGCAGTGGGAAGATTTTGTGAGCAATGACTCCAACAATACCTTCAGAAAATCTTAGTGCTTTTCCCTACTACTCCCTTCTTGTGTGCTTTTTCATATTTTATTAATATGTTATCTTCTATGGAGATGGGAGCATCCTAACTTGCCAGTACTATGGAATAATGAAGACAAGACTCTGCCCTTCTACCCTCCTTGAACTCCTTTACCACTCTTTTCAGCAAAGGTACAGCACTCCAACAGGAAATAAATTAGAGATTAGGTAAGAATTTAAAAAACAAGTGATGTTAGAGGATATCTCTGTCACATTTCACTCAGAAAATAAATTTTTAGACTAAATCTATGATAGGCTATCCTCCGTTCTAGAAAAAACAAACACCGAGAAGTTTTCCACATGGAACTATTCATGCCAAAAAGCAATTACACCAGATTAACTGCATTTTGTTTCCCACAACCACGCAGGTCACAGATGAAAGCATACAGAGATAGAACGAATCTCCCTTCTTACATAGTAGTTAGTAAAGCCCTTCTTCTCCTCAATATCTGCAATGTTAGCTGAAACAGGTACATCATCTGGGAGTTGGTCAAAATCACTGTGAAGCAAGAACAAAAGATTGAGGTTATTCATACTGATATTAGCCTTCGAGGTCTCTGTGCCTTACAGAACAAAAGCAATATCACATTATCTAGTGTCTAGTGTTAGAAACTTGTGGTGTCTTTCTCTTCCTCTGGAGGTCTGATCTCAAGATTTCAGGTTTCTGTAAGTTCAGCAAAGTCAGTGACCACTGTGAAGATTCAACTTGCCTGACAACCACCCATATCATTCCTAGGCTTTTTAGAGGAGCAGAACTACAAAATAAACACTTGAGCTGCTAAGCTTTTCCTGTGATATGTGATCAGCTGTGGATGCATTCTTAATCCTTTCTACAGCATTTAGAAGACTTACAATAATAACTCTGCAGCAGTCTATCTTATTCTAAGGAGATCATTATATATCATGATTTATGCTGTTATTATTATTGCATTACTGTAGGGAATAGGAAACAGTTCTGAGAAAAGAGCTTGTTGTGCTAGGTGCTGTAGAAACTGACAGCACAAAGCTAATTCCTAAAAACCTTACACTCTGTGTGCAAGATGCATACAACGTACCTTGTACATATAAGATTAGAAACAACAGGATAAGACAAACAGAAAAAGAGCAAAGAAAGAAAAACATAGCATTATTCTATATCATAACTAGTGGTGCCTGCACCAGCTGTCAAAATGTCACATTTTCTTGTAAACTTCACAATAAAGCAAACTCTTAAAGAGGCTTAAAAAAAGAAGGAGTAGGCTAGCAAATATTTACAGGGAGACCTCCCAGTCACAGCAGATAAGATTCATCACAGAATCAAAAAATATTCTGAGTTGGAAGGGACCCACAAGGATCACTGAGTTCAGCTCTTAAGTGAACAGCCCATATGGGGATTGAACCGTGACCTTGGCATTAACCTTCACAGCACATAACCTGAAGCAAGAACTAAGTTATTTGTTTGAAAATGTCAAAAATGTGTGAAGGAACACATAATAGTAGGTAGGGTTAGAATAAGCTTTGCAGATCTTAGAAGGTATTGGATTTGAAGCAAAGGAGAAGGAAGGATCCCTGCAGGAACACCTCAAGAGCAGTCATATGACTGTATACAAAGCCATGGTTATTGTCTATAATGCCCACACAACATAACAGCACGGATTGGCAGGTGCTTTTTCCTCTGTGACCTTCTCCCTGGTACAACAGCTTTGACAAGCAGAAGACAAATTCACCTTGGCTTCAGTCTTATAACTCAGTGTTGTTAGAGAGGTATTTATATTAACACCTAAGTAAAAAGCATCAAGAATGAGGAAAAAAGGGTAACAAATGAGGTAGAGAGAAACTTTTAAAAGAATCATCTAAGAAATGCCAAGCTGGCATAATGTTAAATATTCTAATAATACAAAAAAAAGGTGGCATTCTCTCAGTTCATCCTGCTAGGAGAATATCCCAAGCAGGGGTTTCCACAGGGTGTAGCCCATTTGAAAGGATGAAGTAATGATGCAAGGTCTTCAATAGTTTGCTGTTCGAGGAGAGCGCCATGAATCAGCACCACCCACAACACAGTAAATACTATCCCTTACTGTGAAGAGGGATGTGGTTATGGAGATCAAGAGATAAAATTAGTCATATCACAAACCCCAGTAAAAGGGAAACTGTTTGCAGCTATAAAGAGGACAATTACCCATTATGGCCTAGGTGCTGAATATTCCCCACAAAAAGAAGAAAGTCCACTCCAGCCTAGGAAATGGATTGCTCCACACTGAGCTGCCTAATAGTGTGGAAGCTAGGATAACAAGAAGCCTTTTAGAGTCGCCAAAGATGCTTGCATCCAAATTAAACAAACAGATCACAGCAGTTACATGAGGCTTGTGGGGGAGCGGGAGGAGAGGGAGACACGCTACCTCTTTTCTCGCAGCTGTCGGGGAAGAGACATAGTTTTCAGCTTCTTCAATCCAGATGACTAAGCTCTACTCCTCTGCTTCTTGGGCAGTCTCTGGTTGAATAGGATGAACAAAGTCAAATTCTCCCTGTGTGAAACAAGACTGCTTTGCAAGGCCTCAGAGATCTTTTCTTAATGTTTCAGTGTCAGACGATTTCTCCCGTACCTCCCCACCCCCACGAGATTGAGGAAGTAACAGAAAAAAAACAGTCATAAAGAAAGACTGTTCTGTAATGTCTGTCATGTATCAAAACTGCCACAGTTGAGAAACCAAAAGCCCAACAAACAGCAGAAACTATGAGCCATATATTCCGTTGTCCTACCCACCAGAACATTTGCCTCTGTTGAAAGCCAGTATGAGTGGGCTCAACAAATTCTATTTTGTCAGTAAAAAAGTTCTCATATACGCCTCTACACTAACATTTGTAAACTAGGATGAATACTTCTGATCCCTTCCTGAGGCTCTCTGATTCCTGAGAATCCTCCTTTTCATGGATCAAGAGCCAGGAGGTGGAGCTAAAGAATAAATTTTCGAATGGGAGCAGAAATTATTATCAGAAAATTCAACCTTGTCAAACATATGGGTACCAGGGTATCAGGCACAGGAGATGAGTGTAGGATGTGTAGGATGGATCAGTGTAAGGGAGACATGAGTCCTCGAAAGACAGAGATCTTTTCAGCTTCATGCACTAAAAACATTCCATATTTCCCACATACAAGATAATGGCTCACACTTCCTTGTATTCAAATGGTGGTGATAGAGCATTTGTATAAAATCAGCTGACAATTTTTCAAGAAGAAAATAAAAGGAAGAAAGTGACAAGGAAGCCATCATTTGCTAACACTGTGGATAAGTTGCAACACAGCTTATCTGCCTTAGTCAAAAGCTGTCATGGGTATCTGCCTCTCCATTTCAGACTCTTCCATTTTCATGCTCAATACATATTTGCTTCCGTCTCCTCCTTCCGCTGTCAAGCACAAAAATTCCCATCTGAATGGACAAAAAATCAACTGGCATCCTTCAAAATAAAATTCTATTTACAACTGTAATTATCAGCCTTGAGAGTAACTGCATTTCACTGCATTTTAATGAAGTAAATTCTTCACCCATCTCTTTTCTGTGGATAACTGAAGGCACCATTATAGAATTGGAGAGGGGATATAGTGTCTATTGATCAGAAGGGACTAGGAGAACCTATAAAATTCTGAACTGTATTTTCTGAGTGCTACTCTGAGCTTCCAACATAGACTTAGCAGACTTGTTTTAAGGGATGATGTTGGATCTAAGTATTTCCACAGAACTTCACACTCTGGTATATACTCCACTTTCTTGATTAGACCCGTTAAATGTGCAATCCTCGTGTAACCCTAAGTCAGGTTCATTTTACTCTTCCCTTTACTTTGATTGAGAGAGACAATAACCAAGTTTTATAACTGCAGTCCTCTTGATTTCTCCTGACATTCAGAAGGAAATAGGAAGAGATCACCTTGACTAGAATTCTTAATCACAAAATCAATGTATACGAACTCATTAAAATTGAGGGGAGCCCTCCTGACGCACACGAAAAGATTGTGGAAAGCACAAGACCTGTGCAAACTTTAACAGAAGCAAAAGAGAAAGGTGCTTCTAAGGTACCTTTATATTTGATGAATATCATGGTTTTGATAAGAAAATCAAAAAATGGTTATTCTAATGTTTTCAAATCTCTTGGAAGATAATATAGATACAATTCACAAACATCTTTTAATAGACAGAGGATATGACATAATACAAAAATACTTGCTCATTCTTTACCTGGAGATGTGGCTTTTCAAGAACAAATCGACAGACAACCTCATAGACAAATTGTCTATGCAACTGCTTTGCTGTAAGCTGAGAAAAACAAATCGAGAACAGCTCAATTCCACTACTCTTTACTAGAGGTTACAGCCAGTAATAATGTTAACCCGACAGAATAAAGCACCTAAGTGCAAGAAATAGGAACAAATTAATTAATTAAAGGAGACTACTAAGAAAATCCTCAGATGACTGAATCATGACCATATGCTGACACTATTACGTGCCTCTTCACAGTTCACAACATACTATATTATTTTGGACACATATGCCTGTGAGCTGTGAAATCACGGCCTTCTGTCTAATGCACAGGTTGTTGGAAAATACATGTACAAGGATACATAGCACCTTGGAAACCTGAGACTATCAGCAATAATAGAACAACCAGAGCAAGCATGGAATTTTAATGAAAAATCAGAATGTAGTCTCAAATCACTAAAGATACATGAACCACTAGCAAAAGGTAAATCAAACAAAAACGTAGTCAAAATACTCAGTTAAATCAAATTCTACTAGGGCAGCAGCTACTGTACTGTTTTGTCTGTGCATGCCTGTCCACTCTAGAAAAATGGTTTTTCTCTGGTACAGCTGACATTGGAAAAGTGCTTTGTAGTTATGCTCACCAGCCACAGAATAAATCTGTTAAGTGATAGGATAAAGCAAACAAGAAAAACATTCTTAAAATATGTCTGATCTCATCACAGATTAATCTATAAAGGAAAAAATATTTTAACAATCCAATCACTGCAAGGAAGCTGAACATCAAATAGAAACACATTGGCTTGCAAGATACTTACATTCAGCATCTTGCTTTCAAAGGTTATATGGAATATTTGTTTCTGTAGCATACATACCCTTAAAAAAATTGACGTTGTCCTATCTTTCTGAACTTCTTGGAAAAAAAAAAAAAAAAAAAAAAAAAAACAAAGAGGACATAAGTTGAGCTGATTGGTTTTGTATTGTTCATTAGATAACAACTCAATTCATAATGTCTGAGTATATGGATACTCTCCCGGTCACATATTGTGCTGAGAGGAAAAAAAGCACAGGAGATATAGAGCTTTGGAAGTTTGCTTTGACTTAAATCTGGACACAGTTTCCACTACTGTTTTTTCAGGGTGAAAAGTAACTAGTAGTCATTTACAAAAAAGGACTCTGTTCCCGACCTGCTGATATAAACACAACTGAATAATCCATCTTGAACTAAAGAAATTTAAAGGTCAGCATCTACCACTGTTCCTGGCAG